GTGATCAGTCTGTACTTCTGTTTACACGACATATTGTCTGTTAATTGAACTTCAGCACTTGTCTTGCCATAAAGCCGCATTTGGTTTTACGCCATATTCTACTGTCGTTTTCAACGAGTTGGGCCGGTATTCTTATATCTCAGCATCGTTGTAGCATTAATTTTGTCCTACGGTTCTCTGCTCGCCAAACTACAAACGACTAATAGGAGAGCAGTATGTGCCCAACAGGGACCTATAGGATTGTAAAAAGTAGCCAAACTGGCCTACAAAAGAAGAGTGAGGCTATAAAAACCACTATCTCTTTTTACTGATGAAATCCATTTCAACATAGCTTTCCCCCTTGAATGTTTGTAGAAGTCCTCCCGTCTTTCTTTTAAAGATCGCCTTGTGAAGTAATGTTTCGTGATTTAAAGCTTAACGTCAGAGTAGACAAAAACTCCACATCCATGAGCAAAGTATCACAGTCATAGACAACGTGTTGCAACAGAATTCTCAGCACCAAGACCAAGATGAAAATATACCAAGCACATTATAGTCTAAACCCATATGCTGTACTCGGCCGAGACCAGGTCAGCGTATTCAGATCGAGACAAAGAGCTTCAAAGCTTTCTCGTTAGATGCCGGAGAAACATCCTTGGACAAAGGTCAAGATCAAATTACCAAGACTAAGACAAAGGAAAGATGATGAACGTTATTAATGCAAAGCACTCACAGATGCTGTTTGTACGCATGTTTTGTTTTGTTTCGGTTTGTTTGAATAAAGAGAAGCACATCGGCACAATAACGGACATAATATAGTGCTGGGTGAAAGTAGGAGGGATATTCAGGAACAACAGAGGGAAAGAAAAGAAGTAGGACCTATCGGTAGCGCCCCCTACCTCCAACAGTCACTAATGGGATGGATAAGCTGCACCATGGTTAATGGGAGAATACCACGAGAGCCACTCTATGGGGAAATAGAATACGAAAGGAGCAAAAACACATTTATCCCTTTGAAAGCATAACGGTGCCTGCAAGAAGCACATCACTTTAACAGATTTCAGCTCTTGACCCTGGGACAAAATGCCAGAAGACTAATTCTAATGTTAGAGGGATGCTAATACCAATCTCAAGGTGAACGAGAAGGACGCGACATAGATTTTATAACATTGATTATACGCACCGTCTGGAGAGATAGAAAAAGTCCCCAAAAGAGCACAAGGTACTGATCATTACCGATTACCATGCACTCTTTGCAACAAACATCTTCATATGCCAGCATTGGCCTCATGTGCCATCGCCACTGACACAAAGATGTAGACCAGGTAAGCACCTCAAATTTCAGTTATCCGGAGGCCGCTGAAGTTAAAGTCCGGGTGAGCCCGGATGCATCAAGTATTCCACCCCCACCCCCAGTCCCCCCCAAAAAAAATTAAAATTAATTAATTAAAATTAAAATTAATAAATAAATTCAGTTGGTTTTTTAAAAAGTGCAACTGACTTAATCTTCTCAAAATAGCAGTTCAGAACAGAGACAGTTCCTGAGATCGTAGGCTTCTGTTGCCAACACCTTGCTGTCAGAGACATGGTAGCGCTTCCTCTTACATAACTCAGTATTTTGGCTTGAGGGAGGAAGCAAGTTGGAGTAATGGGACTTCAGCGACCCAGCATGGCTTGAACTTGAAGAAGCTCACCAGAAAGTTTGGAACAGTTCATGGCATAGGAGAGCTTTTCTCGTAGACATGTGCTGTTAAAAAAACAACAACAACACACGACCAGCTTTACACCTTGGAATGCCTGGTGAAGATTGGGGGACAGTTTAAGTAGAAATTGATCAAGCTTGGGCTGCACTAGTACTATACTTTGAGGTTAAGTAGCGGCGCGAAATATCGTCCTAGTGGTCTCAACTGATATGTGGGCTGCGAGTTTGAGACCATTGTTGAAAACCAATAAATTTTAAGATGCAAGGTGTCAAAAAAGAGGACCTACGTAAAGGTCCAATAATTCGGTCATTACTTCACTAATTCTAACAAAACCTCGAACGAATAAAATTCAACCAGGAGGACATTCAGTTTGTAAACATGAAGAAAATCCACTATCGCCGTTGTGAAGAATCAAGTTTTTAAAATTTCATCCAAATTTAAGTAAATGCAAAATTTCTCTTCTTAGAAACGTTCAGGTACAGGAGCATTTTCGGCCCGTACTGGTCTCAGGACAAGGGCGGTAAAACCACAACAGTCACATCAGATTGATATCTCACCGTGCTGAGAAAGTTTTGGAAAAGTTTAGGAGGAGACGTATGTATTGTGCTGTAGATGCCTGGTTCCAGTCGGATAGGGCTACATTCCAAATGTCCAGAT